ACCGACCAAATCTATTGTCGTTTTAAATTTTGCTTACCGATTACACCTGTCGTATAATTTTCTTTAGTAACGTAGGTAAACTTGTAGAAAAACATGGGCGTTGAGGAGTTTATGTAATCGCGTGCTACTTTCCTTATACATTTGACATAATACTGTTGGGTCATAAACTAAAATAACAAAAACGGAATTATCAATTCAGTATAAGAAATGACCTAACGATTAAAAAGCAGTCACCTACTTTAATGGCGTTTGTAAAATTGGAATAACTTTTTCCAGGGAAGTACTGCTCGGTTATAACATTGACAACTTCATCAGCTTCAGACGAACTCAGATTAATGTTTAGCCCAGCAGGAATTACCGTTTTAGGATCGTTAGCATATTGCATATAGGAAGCTGTAATATTAGAAGCTTCTGATAATTTTGCAACCGTACACGAGAAACATTTTCTTACCTGCGCTAACTGAACCCTCTTCACTGTTGTATCCTCTAAGAAGAGGGACTTTATTGAATTTTCCAGCGCTCCACAAATCATAAGTGCTCTGGCTTATGAAAGCATTTGGACTCTCTGCCTCAACGCTTGGCAAAAATGATCCATAAACCTACGGACAAAAGGACTGACTTAATTTGCAAAGTGATTTAAACAGATCTGATTAACAATATTTTAGTGCAAAAGATAAATAACTACATACAATTGTAAAAAAGGTGGAAATTGTTCAAGTTGCTATGAAGAAACTGTATTATCGGATTCTAACCCTATCTTATTAATGAAATTCATATGACGGAACAACAATGTTGGACATTTCATCTGCATTACAATGGAAATATCTTCCGTGAACATCACTTAACTGCACCAACGTTGGAGATCCTGCATCAACAATGTGAAGTGCCAGGAGATGTCCCTTGTGATTGGAGACGAAAGGTCAAACACTTTTGACACCACCATGATCCGTCATAGAGATTTTATCAATAAGATGCCATTTGAATCCGGAAATCCAATTTCCTTAACGATAAGACTTCTCAGTTAATTACAGCACTATGCTGACCAATAACCTAACCTAACCTATTTTTTTAATAACTTTTCTTAAAAAGGAATTAGAAGATTAGAAATCTTGAAACTAAAGATTTACTTGACTATTGCGAACCAGTGCGTCCCAATTGATTTGTTGTAAACTAGAAACAATTTCCTTTGTGTCATTGGATGTTATATTAAAGTATCGTGCAAGTCTGACGGTAAGTTGAAAGGAATCTCTGGTAAAATCGCGTTCGTTGAGGGTACTTCCGCTGCTGGCAATTGCTTGGCTGAATAAACCTAAAACAAACCAAAGTCTATCTTCAATCAACAAAATCAGTAAAAAATCTAATTTTGACTATATAACAAAGGATTGATTTGAATATCAGACCTGCACTTTTTGGAGATAAAATCTGGTATTCTACCGAAACAGAACCAGCACTTTCCCCGTAAATTGTTACTCTTTTGGAATCTCCGCCAAACTTCAAGATGTTGTTTTGAATCCATTGTAATGCCAAGTTTTGATCCTTTAAGCCAGCATTTCCCCATGCATTTTTATCGAGAGTACTTAGGAAACCCATTATGCCCAAACGGTATGCGATTGTCACCACTATCATAGGCTTTTCAATTAGGTATGACGGATTGAATTGAGCATTTCCACGAGTAAATGCACCTCCATGTATCCATGCCACTACCGGTAATGACAATTCTTCATTATTCTGGAATGTAGCAGAAGACTTAAGTTCTTTTATTAAAATAGGTAATTATACAGACTGAGACAGAATGTCTAAGGACACATACAACAGCAGCCATTTTAGCATTGTTTTAATATCCACAAGAATATTAAAACAATGCTGGTCGCCTTCAATTGTTTTTCTATTTGAAACCTTTTTATTTTCAGAGTACTCCATTATTAAAACGTTTTTAATTTTAGTATTGTAGTTAAATGTAATCGGTACTGATTAAAATTCTTACCTGGTTAGTCTTTGGTACGTAAACATTTAAATATAAGCAATCTTCACTTCCAACCAAAACTTGACCACGTTCAAGTGCTGCACATACTGGTTTGAAACTTGTAGCATTTATTACTCCGTCCCATGAGGCAACAGGTTGGGGATCCTTACAAAATTTCAAATTTATTTAAACATTATCTCAACTACATATTAGTACAAATTGATAAAAGCTTTTGAGGCCAGTAGGGGAACTAATGGTGTCCTGATTCGAGTCCAGTTAAGTCCAGACCAAATCTGGCATCGGAGATTGAAAGACCTCTGAAGGAGATCGCCACTCGTGCTAGCGAAAAATTAGGAAGCGAGTCCAACCGAGAACAGCATTTAGATGAGCCGAATCAGGACAGCATCAGTTTATATATTGCTAACCTCATTTTTCTTTAAGTTGTATTAGTTTCTGTGTATGTAACATTAGTTGATAGGTCATAATGAAATTATCATTTTTTGTACTTACTTGAAATCGTAACGAACCGACAGGAGGTTTTCCGTAAGGAACTCCTTGAAATGCGTAGTAGGTGACATTTGAGTTAGCTAAACTGATGGCTTCATATCCACGCACATATCCATGCTTCGTTTCCACAGTTAAGTTATACTAAAACAACAATAAAATCTTTGAAGTGTTCTTTCTTCTTTCTACAACATTAAATTTACCCCAGAAGCCTCATTAGAAAGTAATAAACAGAGGGTACTCAAAAGAACAGCAGTGGCAACACTCAAGGACGTCATTACGTGTATTAACGGATCCGGGGCTTCCACGACGTATCCTTAGCTATCTGGGGTCTCCAGCACATCAACTTTGAGAGCACAGTCTTATAAACCGCTGGGTTTTTAGGCAGATGGTTCGGTCACGGGGACGTTGGTATTTGTTTGATAAAATCAACCAATCAATATTATCTCTTTCAGGAAAATCTTTTATCAAGAATAAGATTGACAGTTGTGAATGACCCTTGTCCGTGTTTCAAGCAGTTTTTGATAATTCTGAGAAATTGAGTTAGCGAAAATTAAATAAAAAAATAAGAACATGTCTATTTTGGTGTTTAGAACTTCCAACTGTCGACATTTGATTTATTGCTAATTACTCAATAAAATTTCGATGAATTGGATGTTATTTGTATCTCTTCTATGGTACCTTAATGTATTAAAATGACTTGGGAAATTGTAAAACGTACAAATAAGTAACGACTGATATAATGAAGATTAGAATGCATCATATTACGTTTCAGAAGTTTCATTAAACGTACGTGGTAGATTGCTAGGCTTATTGCAACATTATAGCGCCCTCGATTATTATTATTTTAACTTCTCAATATGCCTTATACAATCAGATGTATCACGAGACGGTTGAAAAATTAAATACAAAACTATCATAACTTAAACTCCCTCTTAACCATTCCGAATCCGCCTAGGCGGAATTACCGAATTATTTGAAATGGTTGCTACATAATTATACAGTACCTATACCACGGCTACGTTCTGGTACTGGTTAAATGTATAAAAACCACTCTCATTGAGATACTACCAGACGAAGCATTATCTTAGAATCGTTTTAGAACTTAATCTGGAAAAGTCTCTACCAAATATATTTCTGTAGTATTTTTTGATTTGGACTATTGAAAATTAGGCAACTTCGGCTGGAAAAATCAGTGGAGACCTAAACCGAGGAACAGTGATAGTTGAGTCATCATCATCATCATAAGGTCGTTAGTCCTAAGACTGGTTGGACACGTACCTCCACTCTTTTCTATCTTGAGCTAATCTTCGCATTTCTCTAAAACTATAACATTCCACATCCTTAACTATTTGCGAACAGTAATCTAATCTAGGTCTACCTCTACCCCTCCTAACTCCTACTCCTGTTTCTGATAGTTGAGTAGCTGTCAATAAAAAGAAAAGAATTTTCATTTCCTCGTGAAGTCATTCTAACTTTACAAAACAAATAATGATATGTGCATAAAGTAGATAGTGCACAATAACGTATATTCTGATCGGGTTACACATTTAAATGACAATTTCACGTAACATACAGACGTTCCATATTTCAGTAAGTATATATTGGTGGTTTTGCGTATTTTCTAAACAAGTCCTTCCAGAAAAGAAAATCTTCATGGTCTGGGTTAAGGCCTGGTACCAAATTACGTCCAATTTCAATATAACGGATGTCATCAACACTTTGAATGCCGTCGGATGCTTCAGGCCAACTTACATTTTGGAGCACGGGATCCTTTTCAGGTGTTGGATGTCTGAAATAATTTAATTAAAAAAATTAACGTAAGGTTGAAATATGAAAGGACAGGTTTTCTCCGTAAAACACAATTAATAAGGATTCACTGACTACTTTATTTCAAACACAGAACTTGTAGTTTGTGTTTGATTTAGTTGGTCATAAGTAAAGTATCAGGAGGAAGGAGTGGTGGAGACAGCTTCACGGGAAGATGAGGTTTGGAAACCAAAAGAAATTTAAAGGGATCAAAATTTTTCTGTTACTTTTAAAACATAATTTCTATACTTCGGCATTATAGCGGGTACTAGGAGAAGGAGCAGGAGGGAATTCTTAGTCACACTAACTGACTAACGTAACCTACACCAGAGCCGGGCAAACTCGGATCTTTTGCATCCCGAGTGATCCTCAAGGTTAACCAAGTAGCTCCTCATTGATCCTGCGAGTGCGAGTGAGATGGTTCTTTCCTTTTCTTATCCCTTCCATTTNTACTCTCATTGAGATACTACCAGACGAAGCATTATCTTAGAATCGCTTTAGAGCTTAATCTGGAAAAGTCTCTATCAAATATATTTCTGTAGTATTTTTTGATTTGACTTATTGAAAATTAGGCTAAAAAAATCAGTGGAGACCGAGGAATAGTGCAGAATTGAACAGCTGTTAATAAAAGGAAAAGAACTTTCCTTTGCTCGCGAAGTCATCCTAACCTCGTAAAGATATGGTTTAAACATAATTTCTACGAAAAAATAAAAAAAATTATATGTGCATAGAAGAAATATCTGTATATTGTAAACAGTGTGTAATAACGTATATTCTGATCGGTATACACATTTAAATGACAATTTTACGTAACATACATGCGTTTCATGTTTCAATAAGTATATATCGTTGGTTTTGCATATTTGCTAAACAAGTCCTTCCAGAAAAGAAAATCTTCATGGTCTGGGTTAAGGCCTGGTACCAAATTACGTCCAATTTCAATATAGCGGATGTCATCAACACTTTGAATGCCTTCGGATGCTTCAGGCCAACTTACATTTTGAAGCACGGGATCCTTTTCAGGTGTTGGATGTCTGAAATAATTTAATTAAGAAAACGTGGGGCCGAAATATGAAAGAACAAGTTTTCTCCGTAAAACTCAATTATAAAAAGGATTCACTGACTAGTTTGTTTCAAACACAGAACTTGTAGTTTGCGTTTGATTTAGTTGGTCATATGTAGAGTAGCAGGAGGAGGAGTGGTGGAAACAGCCCCCTGGTAGCCAAGAGAAACGCAAAGGGAAATCAAAACTTGTATGTAATTTTTCAAGCATAATTTCCATACATCGACATTGCAGTGGGTCCGGTTAGGGAGAAGGAAAGGAGAAGGGGTACGAAAATCCCACTGAGATGTAGAGGAAGGCGGGGAACTTTTAGTCGAACTAACCTAACCTACACAACATAGAGTGAAACCCACACTTATATGTGGACATAACACAAACCGTGTTACAGACTTTTTCAGACTGTTTAACGGCCGGGAACCCTTGGGGGGAACGTTCTCTACAGCCCTCTTCTTCCATCTTTTATTTTCAATCCCCCATGCCGAATAATGTAAAATATGCAATAAAATGGTATGCATCATGCACTTTATTAGGAAGCGATTTCCACCCTTTGCTCCTCCCTTTCCCACCAACCGCATCTTGCCCGTTTTGATATTGAACTAGACTATACTTGGATGTAAATCGAAAACACTGAATAAGTATATAACGAGGACTGTTGTGCATACTGTAGCTACATAAAAAATATAGAAATTGTTTTTACAAATTTCCACAAACCCATTAATGATGAAATTCGCCAGTAATGTGGTCATACGGTCCTTCATTAACACATCTTCATCATTTAGTAACTTTCTTGAATACCACACGTAAACTATTTCTTCTGCATGCCCAGCGCCACCTGTTAAGATACGATAAAATGACAATTTAAAAGGCACGTTAGATTACATTAGATTATAGCTATCGCTGGGGCTAGACGTCCGCCGGCGAAATATTACCCTATTTTAAAAAAATACTTCACCTTACGACGGATTTAATACCATTACATTAACCATCTCCATCGTTTATTTATTTAATCTTTTGTTTAGGTATATTCCGTCTAGATTCTGGAATTTGCGCAAGCGGGACGTACTAGTCCGCCATATTCCAACATGGCCCACGAGTGAAAATAAAAGTAAATAACATGACAACGATTTCATTCACTTTGTGAGGCAATTCCACATCATATGTAAATTGAACCGACCAAGAGATGTATTGTCGTTTTAAAATTTACTTACCGATTACACCTCTCGTGTAATTTTCCTTAGTAACGTAAGTAAATTTGTAGAAAAACAAGGGCGTTGAGGAGTTTACGTAGTCGCGTGCTACTTTCCTTATACCCTTGACAAAATACTGTTGGGTCATAAACTAAAATAATAGAAGCGTATGTGAAAAAGATTCCCTAACGATTAAAAAGTAGTCACCTACATTAATGGCGTTTGTAAAGTTGGTATAACTTTTTCCAGGGAAGTACCGCTCGCTTATAACATTGACAACTTCATCAGCTTCAGACGAACTCAGATTCATGTTAAGTCCAGCAGGAATTACCGTTTTGGAATTGTTACCATATTGCGTATAAAAAGCTGTAATATTAAAATATATAGATAATTTTGCAACTGTCCAGGAGAAACTTTCCCTTACGTCTGCCATACGCGCCCTCTTCACTATTGTATCCTCTCAGAAAAGGGACTTTATTGAATTTTCCAGCGCTCCACAGATCATAAGTGCTCTGGCTCATAAAAGCGTCAGAACTCTCTGCCTCAACGCTTGGTACGAATCTTCCATAAACCTACGAACAAAAGGATTATCAGAAACTGATTTAATTATCAAACTGATTTAAACAGATTTGACGAGCCGATTTAGGCTTCCACGGCTATTGTCTGAAGAAACTGTATTTCCGGAATCTCACCCTGTCTTACTGATGAAATCCCCACGTAACGGACTGGTGGTGTCAAAAGTGTTTCGCACCTCAGCTCCTATAATAAGGGACATCTTCAGGAACTTCACTTAACTGCACCAACGTTAGAGATCCTGTTTCGACAATGTGAAGTTCCTGAAGATGTGCCTTGTGATTGGAGACGAAAAGTCAAACACTTTTGACGCCTCCATGATCCGGCATTTTAATTTTATCAATAAGATGCGATTAGAATCCGAAAATCCAGTTTCCTTCACGATAAGACAATCCTTGACTCGTCAGATAGTTACAGCACTATGCTGAACAATAATCTATTTTTATGTAAATATTGTTGAAAAAGAATTAGAAGATTAAAACTCTAGAAAATAAAGACTTACTTCACTATTGCGAACCAGTGCGTCCCAACTGATTTGTTGTAAACTAGAAACAATTTGCTTTGTATCATTGGATGTTATATTAAAGCGTCGTGCAAGTCTGACGGTAAGTTGCAAGGGATTTTTGATAAATGCCCATTCGTTGAGGGTACTTCCGCTGCTGGCAATTGCCTGGCTGAATAAACCTAAAACAGACCAAGGTCTGTCCTCACTCAAAGATCTACGTCGATCTGACCATAGACATATATTAATGGACGTGCCTTAGCCGTATGTCATTGTAATAATTTCTTGGCTCGAAAAGTTAAGGAGATGGCGTATGGATTCGGACTAGTGCTATCTTTTGCATGACACGCTTACGCACTATCGTGAGAGAGATGGATATTGTCCGAAACTTCGTTCCATCTCTTTCTTTTGTTGTACCACAAATCTGACCGCTAAGGCATGTCCATTACTAAACGTCGATGGATCTGACAATCAATTATTAATCTGAATATCAAACCTGCACTTTTTGGAGATAAAATCTGGTATTCTATCGAAACAGAACCAGCACTTTGCCCATAAATTGTTACTCTGTTGGGATCTCCGCCAAAATTCGCGATGTTGTTTTGAATCCATTGTAATGCCAATTGTTGATCCTTTAAACCGGCATTTCCCATTGCATTTTGGTCGACGGTACTTAAGAAGCCCATTATTCCCAAACGGTATTCGATTGTCACTACTATCATTGGCTTTTCAATTAGGTATGAGGGATTGAATTGAGCATTTCCACGAGTAAATGCACCTCCATGTATCCATGCCACTACCGGTAATGACAATTCTTCATTATTCTGGAATGTAGCAGAAGACTTAAGTTCATTTATTAAAATAGATAATAATACAGGATGATAAAGAAAGTCTATGGACACATACAACAGCAGCCATTTTAGCATTGTTGGTCGCCTTCAATTATTTGCCATTTGAAACCTTTTTATTTTCAGAGTACTCCATTATTAAAATATTTTTAATTATACTATTGTAGTTAAATGTAATCGGTACTGATTGAAATTCTTACCTGGTTAGTCTTTGGTACGTAAACATTTAAATATAAGCAATCTTCACTTCCAACCAAAACCTGACCAACTTCAAGTGCTGCACATACTGGTTTGAAACTTGTAGCATTTATTACTCCGTCCCACGAGGCAACAGGTTGAGGATTCTTACAAAATTCCAAGTTTTTAGAAATTATCTCAACCATAATATACATGTTATTACAAATTAGTAAAGGTTTTCGGTGCTTATAGGTTATGTCCTAATTCATATCTAGTAAAGTTCGCCGCCGGTTGGAGTTGTTTCTTAACGTTTCGCTAGAATGAGTGGCGAACTTCTTCTGAGTTCCCTCCATTTCCTAGTGTACAATTCAGTCCACATCCAGTATCGAAGATATAAAAATCTCTGAAGAAGCCTGCCACTCGTGCTTGCGAAACATTAGTAAGCAACTCCAAACGAGGGAGGCATTTAGAAACCCCACGTTCCGTAGGTCGTATTGGTGTTCGTGTAGATTACATCAATTTACAGATTGTAATGGAATTATTGGTTTTAGTTCTTACTTGAAATCTTAATGATCCTACAGGAGGTTTTCCGTAAGGAACGCCTTGGAATGCGTAGTAGGTAACATTTGAGTTAGCTAAACTGACGGCTTCATATCCGCGCACATACCCATGATTTGTTTCCACAGTTAAGTTATACTAAAAAACAATAAAACCTTTGAAGTGTTGTTTTTTCTTCAAACAACAGTAAATTTACCCCAATAGCCTCATTAGAGAATAGTACACAAAGGGTAGTTATTAGAACAGTCAGAGGCGGCATTGCGTCTGTGGTAGCAGTCACCTGTAGGTTTATTCTCCATGCTACGACTACTTTTACTTAAAAATATATACCCATTGTTTTTTGCATTAGTTTGATAAGGTTGATAATTGTCTATAGACTTTGCACGTGTTTCATGCACTTCCGCAAAATTTCCATTGTTTATCAATTGAGTGGTTGACAATTAAGTGGATGAACAGTTAACAGAATGGGTCTGCATTGGTGTTTAGAAGTTTCTAGCAATCATTTGTCTAAATACTTTTACTAGCAGTCACGAAAAATGGCTCCCATTGCCAACTTTTATTTTATTGTCAATTACTCAATAAGAATGTGATGAACTGAATGTTGTCTATTACTTTTGAAATTGACATTTTAGTCTATAAAACATCAAGAAAGTGGTTCTCCAAAATGTGCAAAAGAAATGCAAATATGAAGCGTAATTCTACCCTTTCTTATATCAAAAGAACATTGCTTCTTTTGTAAATGTTGCTTGACTTATTCCCCCCACCCCCTCCTTCCCCCCTNGACTGTATAACGGTCGGGAACCCTAGAGGGAACGTTCTCTACACCCTTCTTCTTCCATCTTTTATTTCCTATCCCCCATGCCGAAGAATGTAAAATATGTATTAAAATGGTATGCATCATGCATTGGAAAGCGATTTCCACCCTTTTGCTCCACCCCCCTCTACGCATTTTTCCACTTACCCATTAATGATGAAATTTGCCAGCAGTGTGATAATACGGTCTTTCATTAAAACATCTTCATCATTTAGTAACTTTCTTGAATACCACACATAAACCAGTTCTTCTGCATGCCCTGCGCCACCTATTGAAATACGATAAAATAACAACCAAAGTAGTCATGTTAGTTTATATTAGGTTATGATTTTGAATTAGTGATGAGCAAAGCAAGACTAAGACCGTCCCAGTCTTGGTTTTAGTATTGGTCTTGTTCAAATACTTCTAGTCTTAGGCTTGGTCTCTTAGTCTTTGTCTTGTTGATATAGTTTCTGTTCTGCTTATTTCATCTAATATTTACGTTTTTTTTTAATAATTCTAACATTTTTATATTTACGGACACACAAAGTATTTCTTCTGCACGTCCAGCGCCACCTATTAAAACACAATTAAATGACAACCTAAAAGGCCCGTTGGATTATGGCTAACGCTGAGGCTAGCCGTCCACAGACGAAATATTACCTATTATAACACCACTACATTAAATCGTTTATGCAAGCCTGTCGGATTTAACCTTTTGTTTAGATAAATTCCGTTTAGATTCGGGAATTTGCGCAAGCGCGACGTACTCGCCCGCCATATTCCAACATGGCTTACGAGTGATGACAAATGGCAACGGTTACATTCACTTTGTGAGGGCGGTCCAATTGCCAGACAATTAGCCACATCATATGTAAAATTCTACCGACCAAATCTATTGTCGTTTTAAATTTTGCTTACCGATTACACCTGTCGTATAATTTTCTTTAGTAACGTAGGTAAACTTGTAGAAAAACATGGGCGTTGAGGAGTTTATGTAATCGCGTGCTACTTTCCTTATACATTTGACATAATACTGTTGGGTCATAAACTAAAATAACAAAAACGGAATTATCAATTCAGTATAAGAAATGACCTAACGATTAAAAAGCAGTCACCTACTTTAATGGCGTTTGTAAAATTGGAATAACTTTTTCCAGGGAAGTACCGCTCGCTTATAACATTGACAACTTCATCAGCTTCAGAAGAACTCAGATTAATGTTCAGCCCAGCAGGAATCACCGTTTTGGAATTGTTAGCATATTGCGTATAGAAACCTACAATATTACAAAGTTTAGATAATTTTCCAACTGTCTAGGAGAAACCTTTCCTTACCTCTACCATACGAACCCTCTTCACTGTTGTATCCTCTAAGAAGAGGGACTTTAGTGAATTTTCCGGCACTCCACAAATCATAAGTGCTCTGGCTCATAAACGCATCAGGACCCTCTGCCTCAACGCTTGGCAAGAATGTGCCATAAACCTACGGACAAAACGATTTACAGAGAGTTATTTAAACAAAACTGATTAAAAATATTTTAGTGAAGTTGTGGATAGTAGGCAACAGATAAATAAGTACATACATTTGTAAAAATGATGGAAATTGTTTAGATTCTTATGGCAATGGTATGAAGAAACTGTATTTTCGGATTGTAACCCTGTTTTATCAATGAAATTCACATGACGGAACAACAATGTTGGACTTTTCATCTTCTATCACAATGGAATCTTCAGGAACTTCACTTAACTGCACCAACGTTTTAGAGACCCTACATCGACATTATGAAGTTCCTGGAGATGTCCCTTGTGATTGGAGACGAATGGTCAAAGATTTTTGACGCTACCATGATCCATCATTGGAACTTTATCGAAAGGATGCCATTGGAATCCGGAAATCCAGTTTCCTTAAAGATAAGACGATCCTCGAATTGTAAGATAATTACAACACAATGCTGACCAAGAGCCTAACCTATTTTTAAATTAATATTACTAAAAAGGAGTTAAAAAGGTTTAAAAATCTTGAAAATAAAGACCTACTTGACTATTGCGAACCAGGGCGTCCCAACTGATTTGTTGTAAACTAGAAACAATTTCTTTTGTATCATTCGATGTTATATTAAAGTGTCGTGCAAGTCTGACGGTAAGTTGAAAGGGATCTATGGTAAAATCGGCTTCGTTGAGGGTACTTCCGCTGCTGGCAATTGCTTGGCTGAATAAACCTAAAACAAACCAAAGTCTATCTTCAATCAACAAAATCAGTANCCTAACGATTAAAAAGCAGTCACCTACTTTAATGGCGTTTGTAAAATTGGAATAACTTTTTCCAGGGAAGTACTGCTCGGTTATAACATTGACAACTTCATCAGCTTCAGACGAACTCAGATTAATGTTTAGCCCAGCAGGAATTACCGTTTTAGGATCGTTAGCATATTGCATATAGGAAGCTGTAATATTAGAAGCTTCTGATAATTTTGCAACCGTACACGAGAAACATTTTCTTACCTGCGCTAACTGAACCCTCTTCACTGTTGTATCCTCTAAGAAGAGGGACTTTATTGAATTTTCCAGCGCTCCACAAATCATAAGTGCTCTGGCTTATGAAAGCATTTGGACTCTCTGCCTCAACGCTTGGCAAAAATGATCCATAAACCTACGGACAAAAGGACTGACTTAATTTGCAAAGTGATTTAAACAGATCTGATTAACAATATTTTAGTGCAAAAGATAAATAACTACATACAATTGTAAAAAAGGTGGAAATTGTTCAAGTTGCTATGAAGAAACTGTATTATCGGATTCTAACCCTATCTTATTAATGAAATTCATATGACGGAACAACAATGTTGGACATTTCATCTGCATTACAATGGAAATATCTTCCGTGAACATCACTTAACTGCACCAACGTTGGAGATCCTGCATCAACAATGTGAAGTGCCAGGAGATGTCCCTTGTGATTGGAGACGAAAGGTCAAACACTTTTGACACCACCATGATCCGTCATACAGATTTTATCAATAAGATGCCATTTGAATCCGGAAATCCAATTTCCTTAACGATAAGACTTCTCAGTTAATTACAGCACTATGCTGACCAATAACCTAACCTAACCTAATTTTTAATAAATTTTCCTAAAAAGGAATTAGAAGATTAGAAATCATGAAACTAAAGATTTACTTGACTATTGCGAACCAGTGCGTCCCAACTGATTTGTTGTAAACTAGAAACAATTTCTTTTGTATCATTGGATGTTACATTAAAGTATCGTGCGAGTCTGACGGTAAGTTGAAAGGAATCTCTGGTAAAATCGCGTTCGTTGAGGGTACTTCCGCTGCTGGCAATTGCTTGGCTGAATAAACCTAAAACAAACCAAAGTCTACCTTCAATCAACAAAATCAGTAAAAAAATCTAATTTTGACTCTATGACAAAGGATTGATTTGAATATCAGACCTGCACTTTTTGGAGATAAAATCTGGTATTCTACTGAAACAGAGCCAGCACTTTCCCCGTAAATTGTTACTCTTTTGGGATCCCCGCCAAACTTCACGATGTTGTTTTGAATCCATTGTAATGCCAAGTTTTGATCCTTTAAGCCAGCATTTCCCCATGCATTTTTATCGAGAGTACTTAGGAAACCCATTATGCCCAAACGGTATGCAATTGTCACCACTATCATAGGTTTTTCTATTAGGTATGACGGATTGAATTGAGCATTTCCGCTAATAAATGCACCTCCATGTATCCATGCTACCACCGGTAACGAAAATTCTTTATTATCCTGGAAAGTAGTAGATGACTTAAGTTCATTTATTAAAATAGATAATAATACACGCTGATACAGAAAGTCTAAGGACACATACAACAGCAGCCATTTTAGCATTGTTGGTCGCCTTCAATTATTTGCCTATATATCGGTGGTTTTGCGTATTTTCTAAACAAGTCCTTCCAGAAAAGAAAATCTTCATGGTCTGGGTTAAGGCCTGGTACCAAATTACGTCCAATTTCAATATAACGGATGTCATCAACACTTTGAATGCCGTCGGATGCTTCAGGCCAACTTACATTTTGGAGCANTGGGCGTTGAGGAGTTTATGTAATCGCGTGCTACTTTCCTTATACATTTGACATAATACTGTTGAGTCATAAACTAAAATAATAAAAACGGAATTATCAATTCAGTATAAGAAATGCCCTAACGATTAAAAAGCAGTCACCTACATTTATGGCGTTTGTAAAGTTGGAATAACTTTTTCCAGGGAAGTACCGCTCACTTATAACATTGACAACTTCATCAGCTTCAGCAGAACTCAGATTAATGTTTTGCCGTTTTAGGATCGTTAGCAGATTGCATATAGGAAGCTGTAATATTAGAAGCTTCTGGTAATTTTACAACCGTACACGAGAAACATTTTCTTACCTGCGCTAATTGAACCCTCTTCGCTGTTGTATCCTCTCAGAAGACGGACTTTATTGAATTTTCCCGCGGTCCACAAATCATAAGTGCTCTGGCTTATAAACGCATTAGGACTCTCAGCCTCAACGCTTGGCAAGAATGATTCATAAACCTACGGACAAAAGGATTTTTAGAGACTGACTTAATTTGCAAAGTGATTTAAACAGAACTGATTAGCAATATTTAGGTTAAGTCGCGGAATGTAGGCAACAAATAAATAACTACATACATTTGTAAAAAAGATGATAATTGGTTACGTTCTTATGAAGAAACTGTAATTTCGGATTCTAACCCTGTTTTATCAATGAAATTCAGACGACGGAAGAACAGTGTTACACATTTCATTTGCTATCACAAATAGACATTTCTTCAGGAACTTCACTTAATTGTACCAACGTTGGATATCTGCATCGATAATGTGAAGTTCCTGGAGATGTCCCTTGAGATTGGACATGAAATCAAATCATCCGGATTTTATCAATAAGATGCCATTGGAATCCGGAAATTCAATTTCCTTAACAATAAAACGATCCTGGACTTCTCAGTCAGTTACAGCACTATGCTGACCAATAACCTAACCTAACATTTTAGAAATCTTGAAACTAAAGATTTACTTGACTATTGCGAACCAGTGCTTCCCAACTGATTTGTTGTAAACTAGAAACAATTTCCTTTGCATCATTGGATGTTATATTAAAGTGTCGTGCAAGTCTGACGGTAAGTTGAAAGGGATCTCTGGTAAAATAGCGTTCGTTGAGAGTACTTCCGCTGCTGGCAATTGCTTGGCTGAATAAACCTAAAACAAACCACAGTCTACCTTCAATCAACAAAATCAAAAAAAAAACTAATCTTGGCTTTATAACAAAGGATTCATTTGAAAATCTGACCAGCACTTTTTGGAGATAATATCTGGTATTCTACTGAAGCAGAACCAGCACTTTTCCCGTAAATTGTTACTCTTTTGGGATCTCCGCCAAACTTCGCGATGTTGTTTTGAATCCATTGTAATGCCAAGTTTTGATCCTTTAAGGCAGCATTTCCCATTGCATTTTTGTCGACGGTACTTAAGAAACCTACTATTCCCAAACGGTATGCGATTGTCACTACTATCATTGGCTTTTCTATTAGGTATGACGGATTGTTTTGAGCATTTCCACGAGTAAATGCACCTCCATGTATCCATGCCACTACCGGTAATGACAATTCTTCATTATCCTGGAAAGTAGCAGAAGACAAGTTCTTTTATTAAAATAGGTAATTATACAGACTAATACAGAATATCTAAAGACACATACAACAGCAGCCATTTTAGCATTGTTTTAATATCCACAAGAATATTAAAAAAATGCTGGTCGCCTTCAATTGTTTTTCTATTTGAAACCTTTTTATTTTCAGAGTACTCCATTATNTATAGACAATCTTCACTTCCAGCTGCAACTCGTCCAGTTTCAAGTGCTGCACAAGTTGGTTTGAAGCTTGTAGCGTTTATTACTCCTTCCCACGAGGCAACAGGTTGAGGATCCTTACAAAATTTCAAATTTATTTATATAAAAATTATCTCAACTATATATTATTACAATTTGATAAAAGCTTTTATGGCCACTAAGGGAAGTAATGGTGTCCTGACTCGAGTCCAGTTCTGTCCAGACCAAATTCGATATCTCTCAAAGAAATCGCCACTCGTGCTAGCGAAATAGAAGGAAACGAGTACAACCGAGGACAGCATTTAGCTGAGCCGAATCAGGACAGCATCAGTCTACATATTGCTAACCTCATTTTTCTTTAAATTGTATTGGTGTCTGTGTATGTAACATTAGTTTATAGAATGAAATTATTGTTTTTTGTACTTACTTGAAATCGTAACGATCCTACAGGAGGTTTTCCGTAAGGAACTCCTTGAAATGCGTAGTAGGTGACATTTGAGTTAGCTAAACTGATGGCTTCATATCCACGCACATATCCATNTTTAAAAAAACTAGTATTTTATCAAAAAAAGACGTCTGTCTGTTATCAATAATTTTCTGCACATCATCTTTGAGAATTTGGCCTTACAGCTGACTTGGTTATTTGGGAGTAAATTTTTTGTTAAATTTAGTTTGAGCGTGGCTCGGAAAAAAACCCATTTTACTTTGCTTATCAATTGAATGTTGAAACATTAAATGAAAGTTAACTTCGATTAAAATGCCGAAAACTCGCTAAAATACCGTTTTATTTAATTTTAACAAAAACATAATATTATTTAACATGTTGCTTGAACTCCTACCCCTTCCCCTGTTGCTACTTAAAGGTTCTGCAGCACCCCTAATCGCCTAAATCGCCTTACATAATACTTGAACGACTCCTAAGGTTTATATAATCAGCCGTACTATAAAAACGACTGAAAAATTGAAAAAGAAACTAACGTAACCGCGTAGTTGGAATTTAAAATGGACATTTCTTCAAATAAGTCTCATAAATATTGTCATAATCTCTTTATTTCCATATTAAACATACCAAGTGGTGGAAATACAACAACTAAAATACTTAATAATACTTTAGTATGTATAAATAGTAGTCGTTGCGTACTTTTGAAAAAGACTTCTCCAGAATAAAAAGTCTGCTTGATCGGGACTTGTTCCTGGAACCAAGTCATAACCTAATTCCAAATAGCGGAGGTCATCTACACTAGGAACATTCGTGTGAGCTTCTGGCCAAATCACGTTATTAAACAGTGCATCTGCTTTTGGGGTTGGATTCCTAGAATAAAGAAATAGGAAAAAATGAGACCAGGTAATGAGTTGCCTTGAGGAATAAAGTTGATGGATTTTATTTGAATTTTTATTTTACTGGTTCTATNTGCTTGATCGGGACTTGTTCCTGGAACCAAGTCATAACCTAATTCCAAATAGCGGAGGTCATCTACACTAGGAACATTCGTGTGAGCTTCTGGCCAAATTACGTTATTAAACAGTGCATCTGCTTTTGGAGTTGGATTCCTAAAAGAAAAAGAAAAAAGGAACATCAGGTGATTGTCTTTAAGTATAAAAAATAAAACAGGGTAGTCAGTTACTTTGAGGAATAAGGTTGATTAATTTAATTTAAATTTGGTTTACTGACTTTAGTCAAGGATCTAAATGAATTTTTTCAAAAGTTTAAAAAAAATGCTTACAGAAAATTCAAAAATGAGTTATTTTCCATGATCTATTTCCCACCACTACCAGCTTATTGAACCTTCTCTCATTTACAATAAGAGTTATTAACGGTGTAGAAGTCCTACATTGTCTAAGTGTATCAAAATGGACAGACTAGCAAAAATCGTCTCTAAATTTGGCCGTCCCTAAATCTTTACTGCCTTAAAACCGGGCTTCACGGGACTAAGCACTGGGTGGCAGGCAGAGCTGAGATCGAATTGGGAATAGACTAATGGTAGATAGTAGTAGAAAGCAGATAATTGGGAATTGTATCAGAAATCCTCATTCCTGGTACTCCATTGAAAAATATCAAGAAAACGTCTCTCTCACGGTAAAAGTGGATGGTGCAAATGTGTACGACGGATTGAAAAGATTATAAACGAAGGGTGAAGAGATACCTACTAGTAAAAGGTAAAAGCAAGAGAAGGCTTTATGGGAGTCAATAAGCAGAAAAGGAAAGATAACAGTTTGCAAACAATTAGGGATATGGGATGTTTACGGGAATTGCGAAAATTTGCTCACAATAATAAGGAATGATGATCAAGCTTCAGAATTGTCTTTAAATTTAAAAATAATAATTCATGATTTCTTACCCATAAATGGCAAAATTGGTCCACAACGTAACCATGCGATCCTTCATTCGGACATCGTTCTGATTAGCTAATGGTATGGAATACCACGTATACTTACCTTCTTCAGCATGCCCAGCGCCTCCTTAAATATTATTTTCTCATTATTTATAATTTTAAAGCGCAAGATATATAAATAATGAATCGTACCATTTACTCCTCTGGTATAGTTCTCCTTAGTGACGTAAGTGAACTTGTAGAAATACAGAGGTGCCGAAGACTTTGCAAAATCGCCGATAGTCTTTCTGATGCCTCTTACGAAATAGTGTTGAGTCATGAACTTGTGGTCAAGAAAGAACAAATATAATGAACAAATTTAACAATTAATCGGAAACTTATCTATTGATAATCGTCTTTAGTTAATTAGTCATTAACTTTATATTCAAATCAATGTTCTTTTAAACAAAATATAGGAAAAGCTGTTGAAGATACTGAAAATGCAAATATACTTAAATTTTGTAACAAAATGTTTTATTTAGGTATTTGTTCAACATGATTCGCAAATCTAACGATTGCTCTTGCTAAATATTGTTATTTCTAACTTCTAACTTTTCTGAAACAAACTACTTTATGTGCATGAATATATAAGAAGATACTTACATTAATGCAATTGGTAAAATTGCTGTATGAATTGCCAGGAAAATATTGTTGAGTTATGGCCTTGACAATTTCATTCGCTATTGGAGATTTTTTACTAACATGAAGGCCTGCAGGAATCGTATTTCTAGGATCTTGAGCGTATCTTGGGGCACTATCTGTAAGGAAAGTTAAAGTGGTGAATTAAAAAAGGACCCTTGTTGACCATAATTACTATTAATCAGACTAGGGATATAAAACAGTATTTTGCTTTGTACCTATTGGTTATCAAAAGAACCTTAAGTAATTAAGCAAGCATACATTTAATTTTTCAAACCCTTTTTCAATAGTTCTGTAATTAAGTGCTGCTTGAGCCCTTAAGGAGTCATTATGTCTTTAAGTGCATTTGCCGCATCGTTGATCACAATCTTTAGGCCGTTGCAGTTCGTTAACTACCTTTCATCTGAAGCTGGTCGCGATTAATTTATGGTATTACAGGGTAATATTAGAGAACTGCTGTAAATATTAAGTTCATCAAAGGGTAAATTCCATATTATGAAAACAGCAAAGTGAATCACAAATAAATATTTAAACCCGTAGTAGGTACGTTTAATTAACGTTATCGACAAACATTCCATTCACACGAATTATCTTAAATCACTCCACCTAGCTTACAACAGTTAAGACATCAAATAAGTATTATTATTTGTTTCAAACTTGCTAATTACAGCAAAACATCGCAAAAATGTGACCCGAGGAAACGAATGGGTTTGGGAAGTTGTACATATCTTAATCTGAAGATGTTTTAACAACGGAACCACGGCTTTCTAACGAGAGCAACAGACCAATTGGATGGCGACCGTGGTACCGTTCAGTCCCTAGCATCATATTGAAGATAGGTTAAATTGTAAAAATTTATTACTTTTATCTGTTGACTAAACTTGACCGTTTTCAAAACACAATTTAAATGTTCTAAAGCTGCGTGTTGTGCTGGTACCTTCGCCAGGTTTCATTTACCCCTTTGTAACATTGTGAATTTATCATTATCTACCGTTTATGTTTATGTATATTTATTATAGTTTAGGATCTGAATATATTTCCTAATATTTCGTATATTGAAATTTACCAAATTTTATTATATTATTATATGTTAAATAGTTATTATATATTAATGGAGTTATAACATTTATTTATGCACCCCCTATGTAAACCACCCTAAACCACTACTTACTGATATAGAGTAATCCAAAATTAAATAGGTTTTCGTTTTTATGACGAAAACGTTACTTATAGTTACTTACTTCTATTATTAGCACCTTCCTCTGAGTTGTAGCCAATAAGTAATGGTACCTTGTGATATTTACCAGCACTCCACAAATCATAAGAACTTTGACTAATGAAAGCCTCATTGCTTTCAGCTTCTACGCTCGGTAAAAATAATCCGTCAAGCTGCAAACAAAAATAATAATAGTAATAGGAAGATGCTTTAGGTACTAGACCAACCTGAGAGTTTTTGATAAGTACTTCCATGTCAATTTTTTGTAATCCAGCAATGACCTCTTTAGTATCATTGCTTGTTATGTTAAACCGTCTTGCAAGTTTCAATGTTAATTCCAAGGGGTTTTCTTGGAATCCCCATTCGTTTAAAGTACTGCCACTTTGTGATATGGCCTGATTAAAAAGCCCTAAAGTAGAAACAAAATAATTTAGATAATTTGATGACTATTGTTTCATTAATGTGTCAAAGTCAGCAGAACTAAAGTTATTGTAATATGTACATTTATTTAATTCTCCGTTTTCATTTTCTTGACTATTAATACTATTATTGTTCTCTGTTATTTTTATTCAAGCAATTCATGACAGAGTTTTGTTCACCTGTACTTCTTTGCGAAAGGAGTTGATACCCAACACTAGCTCCTCCAGCACTTTGCCCAAATATGGTTATTCTGTCCGGATTTCCTCCAAAATGCTGTATGTTGTTCTTAATCCACTTCAACCCCAAGGTTTGATCTTTCAAACCAGCGTTGCCCCTCGCATTTTCGTCATGAGTACTCAGGAAACCCATGATACCCAACCTGTATGAAACTGCAGCAATTATAACAGGTTTTTCAATATAGTACGAGGGATCTGGACGAGAACTACCACGTACAAAACCACCCCCATGATACCAAACCATTACTGGCAAAGAAAGTTCTTCGTTTTTCTATAAATTCAAAATTCGGCTTCAATTACGGACCCTTAAAATTTCTTTTGGTACTTGTACCTTTTCTGTTTTGGGAACATAAATATTTAAGTACAGACAATCCTCACTACCAACAACGGGACTGCCTGCTATAGATGTTTCAAGAACGACACACAAATTCGCCCAGTCTGTGACTTCCTTTACCCCATTCCATGATGACACTGGTCTAGGATCCTAACAATTAATAAACTTCAGAGATCGGTGTACTCAATCTTATAATGGTGTCAAATATTGACGTAATGCTAAAGTTCCATGTTTATCTTTAGAGTTCATTTAAAATGGTGGATCTAGTGCACAGTTGCCTGCTTATCTTCAACTTTTGACCCACAAGACCAAATAATGAAATCCTTCACTTACCTGAAATCGTAAAGATCCTACGGGTGGTTCCCCATATGGAATACCCCTGAAGGCAAAATATGTTGCGCTCTGGTTTACGGAACTTCTTTGTTCGTAACCTTTTATGTAACCATTTTCTGTTTTAATTGTTAAATTATACTACGAAAAGGACTGTTTTTAGTATAAATTGTTAATTATTCATTAAGTACTACTTACCCCATTTATTCCTTTACTGTAAAGTATGAAGAGTACAAAAACTACACCAGCTGTTTTATCTAACATGATGGAATGGTGCTCAAGTTAAAATCTCACTGAGAAATGTTGGCAAATACGTAACACTCATAAAATGATTATTTATGAAAAATCAATCAAAATCACGACACATTCTTATTGATTAAAAATAAGATCATCAGATCATGTAAAAACTTCAATCAGTACTTAAAAGAACTTGCAAATTTTAAGATTACAAGTGTATATTGTTATGAAATAAGATAAAACGACTACAGCAAATTAGAGTAGTTTAAAAGTCAATTTAAAAAAGCAGAAGCAACAATGGTAAATCATGTCTCCTTATTTGTCATAAGGAACTACTGAAACAACATAACGAGGTGTCCTCGTTCTGTGTAATTATTGTTCCCGTGTTTGCGATTGACTGATGTATAGTTTTTGTATTAGATGAGCTACCGATTCCCTGTCAAAAAATATCTTACTTGAATACTTATCGGAACAATGATCAATTCAAAGAGATTTCTGCTATTAGGATTTCAAATTTCTTCTTAACAACCCTGTGTAAGTTGACAGGTTTTTGTTAATAACTTTGAAAATAGTGCACGCCGTTCATCCAAGAACATTCTACATTACACTACTCTATTTATTATTTTAACCACAAAGGGACCACTGTAAGTCGTTACAAACCAAGGTAAGGAGATCCAGACAAGTATGTATAGTTTTCACAATTTTTCAATTTTGACCTTTTTTTAACAGTAAATGTGCATCTAGGAGTCATACTTATTCAAAAGTTTACTCAACACAGTTGCTTCTTAAAACACCATTTTTTTTTGTTTTCCCGCCTCACTTGCTAAGCATCTGTGAGGATGTAAACGAAAGATAAGAAAGCCCTTTGTGTCATTGGCGGCAGACTCCGGTCGCTATAACTGCATGGTATTGCTAAGGATTTGTTACAAATGATTCATTAAAAATAGTAGCTATACCCGAACTCGCCGCTACATCCGAAGCCACTATAGCCACATGACTTTTATACTAAAATATGCTTTAAATTCAAGGGACTTAGATTTAACATCGCTATAGCAAAATTGTCTTTATAACCCAGATCGTAATAAATGAAATCCACTGTATAAATGTTTATTTATAATATGTTTAAAAAATCCTACACAATTGTTATGCATTGCTGTATTAGTAAATGATTTTATAAATATAGTTTTGAAATGTAAAGTCTGGTTGAGGATAGAAAGGTGTACAGGTCAGTCGATCTTCAACTAATGATCATCGAACTGTGATGATGATGATGATAGTTATTATTAGAATACTACATTACAATTTTTGAAATATCCGATTGACATTTGAAAAATTCCTAAATGATTTTTAAAAAGCTTGTTCCTATATTAGAAAGTGACAGGAGTTGTAATTTTGATAACAAGTCGTAGTTGTTTCTAAATTCACAATGAGTTAGTACTATCATGGAGAGATAGAAACTTCACCGGGTGCACACTCACGCATTGCGCCTGGATTTGTCAACAGAGTAACGAGTATGATTAACGGGCTTATGTTTGTCGTGCCTATTTACATTAAAATTTCTTGAATTCTAACGTCCCTCTTTCACAGATGTTATCTAGAAGCAAGCCAAAGATTAAATTAATGGCGCACGTTATTTTCGGCGATTAGATATTTAACAAACGTTTAAACATTGAACGACTCCTAAGTTTTGCATAATAATCAAACGTAGGTACTATAGAAATTAAAATAGAAACAAATGTAACCTAAACCTACCTTAGCCTAACCCATCCTAAGTCGCCTAGAGAGAACTTAAAATAGACATATCTTCAAATAAGACTCATAAATATTGCCATAATCCCTTTATATATTTCGTCATTATACATATCATGTGGTGATAATACTACAACTAGGATACTTAATTATTTTTAGTATGTATAAACAGTCGTCGTTGCGTATTTCTGAAAAAGATTTCTCCAGAATAAAAAGTCCGCTTGATCGGGACTTATTCCTGGAACCAAGTCATAACCTAATTCCAAATAGCGAAGGTCATCTTTACTAGGAACATCCGTATGAGCTTCTGGCCAAATCACGTTATTAAACAGTGCATCTGCTTTTGGGGTTGGATTCCTAGAATAAAGAAATAGGAAAAAATGAGACCAGGTAATGAGTTGCCTTGAGGAATAAAGTTGATGGATTTTATTTGAATTTTTATTTTACTGGTTCTATACAAGTATCTGAAAGAATTTATTCAAAAGAATAAAGAGAAAAGCTTATGGGAAATTTAAAAATGAGTCATTTCCCACCACTTCCAGCTTGTTAAACATTCTCTTATTTACAATAAGAGTCAGTCATCAGCGGTGTCGAGGTTCTACAAATGGACAGACCCGAAACAAATCAGCTCTAAAATTGTGTCGTACCTAAAATATTTTATGGCTCTAGTCTCAGACTTCACAGGACTAAGCACTGGTGGCAGGTAGAGCTGAGGCTGGATTAAGAACAGACTAATGGTAGATAATTTTAGCAAGAGTGATTATAAATTATATTAGTAAATTGAATTTCAGTAAAATCTGTCCACTTTATTCCTTTTTCTCAACACTTCTTTGAAAAAGTTGAGGGAGATTATTAGAAGCACGTTTGAGGATAGGATACTCTCCCATAGTATAGATGGATGATGCAAATATGTATCGTGGATTCAAAAGGTTAGAAATGAAGAGTGAAGCTAAAAGCAGGATATATGGGTTCAATAAGCAAAAAAGGAAAGATAACGGTTCACAAATAATTAGGGATATAGGAAATGCGAAGATAGGTTCAGAATAATAAGGAGTTGATGACCCTGTTACAGACCATTCTTTAAACTCAAATGTAAATCATGATTTCTTACCCATAAATGGCAAAATTAGTCCACAAGGTTACCATGCGATCCTTCATCCTGATATCATTTTCATTGGCTAGTGTTGTGGAATGCCATGTATACTTACCTTCTTCAGCATGTCCAGCACCCCCTTAAATATTATTTCTCATTATTTATAGTTTTAAAGCACAAGATAGATGATGAATCATACCGTTTACTCCTTTTGTATAGTTTTCCTTAGTGACATAGGTGAACTTGTAGAAATACAGAGGAGCAGAGGACTTTGCAAACTCGCCAACAGTCTTTCTGATGCCTCTTACAAAGTAGTGTTGAGTCATGAACTTTTATGGAAAAAATCAACGATGAACAAATACAATGAGCAAACATAACAACTAATTGGGAAAGTTATGCTAAACAATACGTAATAGTCATTGGTTAATTTGTCATTAACTTTATACTCATATCAATTAATGGTCTTTTTAATAAAATATCAGAAAAGCTGTTGAAGATAGTGAAAATACAAAGAATTTGTTATTTTGTAATTATAAACAGTAATTCGCAATTCTAAATTTTATATATTATATTAATGATTACTATTAGTAACTTCTCAATCTTTTCTGAAACAAACTAATCCATGCATCTACATGAATATATAAGAAGATACTTACATTAATGCAATTGGTAAA